TCTTACAGCAACAAAATAGCAACAGAATACGCCGTTAGTCTCGGGTCGCTAGCTGCTTTAGCTCACGAGATATGAAATATCTGGTGTCTTCGGGGTCGGGGGTTGATCATACCCCGATAAGGGTTGTGATTATGATGGTCGCAGCATGCCTATCTAATAGCAACAAAATACGCCGTTGGGTTCGGGTCGCTAGCTGCTTTAGCTCACGAGATACGAATTATCTGGTGTCTTGAGGTCGGGGGTTGGTCATACCCCGATAAGGGTTGTGATTATGATGTACGCAGCATGCCTACCTTATAGCAACAAAATACGGCGTTTGTCTCGTGCCGCTAGCTGATTTAGTTCACAAGATACGAAAAACCTGAAATATCTAAGAATAAGGGTAGTTAGCCCCCCATGAAGAGGGGGAATTTTTCCATATCTAACCAGCTTATCTTACAGCAACAAAATAGCAACAGAATACGCCGTTTGTCTCGTGCCGCTAGCTGCTTTAGTTCACGAGATACGAAAAATCTGAAATATCTAAGAATAAGGGTAGTTAGCCCCCCATGAAGGGGGGGAATTTTTCCATATCTAACCAGCTTATCTTACAGCAACAAAATAGCAACAAAATATGCCGTTCATCTGATCTCTATAACTGCTTTTGACTCCGAGTTATTGCTGTGGTTTCGCTAGCGTAATATTACGCTAGCGTAACTGGCGTTTTTCCGAGAAATCATGGAGCAACAAAATCAATTCTTGCGGCACAAAATAGCAACAAATTAGCAACAAAATACTATATACCTTAGGATATGGACTTATGAAATTGTTACGCTAGGGTAATATACCTGATTTAGCGCCCATTTCATGGTAGCCGCACTTTCATTCGACTAATACGGGTACTAAACAAAGGTGTAAAACGGTACTAAACCTCAAAGCAAGCAGTCAATAGAGATCGGGTACTTTGTTACCGCGATACCGTTTCGAGATTTTTACAAGTCGAAAACGACATATCGTCTTTTATGTGGCCGGCGGGCTATCTGGATCTTATCAGGGGACGGCGGCCGTCAGTCACCGCGGCGGCCAGCTCGGATCGTCTCAGTTCAGGCGGCGCGGCTCCGCGGGAGATCGTCTGTTAGTGCATAGTATACTCACAGACGTAGAAAATTGGAGAATAGACTTAGTATAGGGCACCTCAGAATAATAACTATAGCGAACGCTCCGCTTTATTTCCAGTCGCCACCACAGGGATTTTCACTGGAGTAGAGTCTTCCGCAGGAATGGAAAGTAGGGGCAATGAATTCAATGGGGACTAAGAGAATTTTTATTCGGAAGCGACTGGGAATAAAGTAACGCTCCGATGGTAATTTTATTTCGTTTCTGTCCATAAACAACATTTTCTTTCCTCTTATATTTCTTAGGATGCAAGGTTTCTCATTTTTTTTTTGTTTTATTTGAGTGTGTATGCTGTTGGTCGCAGATGACCTTTACGGGTTTGGGGACGGCGAGATCCTTAGGGGACCTTAAGCCGAGAATTGGCGAGTGCCTCTAGAGGTATTCCAAGCGGATTCCAAGCGGATCAGAGCTCCTCTCCGTCTGAGAATCTGAGGGGTCGGCTCAACTAGAGGGCGTCTCTGAGACTCGGACCTCGGCTAGTTAGCCGTTGTCGTGGAAGGCGGGGAAAAACGCCCAGGTACGTACCTGTACCTGGTATAGCGTGTCCTGTGTAGACCGGGTCTTCGCACTCTCTCCTACGGGTGTGGTGTCTGCCTAATGCAATAGTATCCATCTCGCCGTCTTTTCGCATTGTAAGTAACTCACAAAGTCAAACGAAATAGTTTTAAAAGTACCAATTAAACATTTGAAAGAAGAAATTGCAATTGTAGATTATTATACTCATATTTTGAAGTATCTTACTGCTAGCTGTTTGAATGAAAATAAAATTTTACTATAATCCATTTTGTTTTATCTCTCATAAAATCATACTGCTGTGTTCAGTGAACTGTGGTTACATTTTTAAATAGTATCGCGTGCCAGTTTGACATAGGCGGCCTATTAGCATAAAACTTACTCGAGGAGGTAATTAAGCTATTACGAGTGGAGTCACCATGAGGTTGGTTATATGTATAATTCTCTCAGCTTGTGGTAAGTGGAAGGCTACTATTATCTTAAATGTTGTTTTTGTTATTACAAAATTACAGAATGTCTAAAAAAAATGGCTGGATGCGAGTAGCCCAAAATCGATCTGAGTGGCGTGCAATTGGAGAGGCTTATGTCCAGCAGTGGACTAAGATAGGCTGTCGATGATGATGATGTAAAAAAATCTCGATATATAAAGATTCAAAAACGCGATCCCAAATTACATTTTCCATTAAAAAACACATTTTATTGAAAATTAATAAAAATGACTGCCGGTAAAAAGAATAAAGTAAAAAGTAAGAAATAAGTTGTATTTTTCGAAAAAGATGGAATTTTGGATTTGAATTGAGTTGAAATCGCCCGAAATGAAAAAAAATATGATCTGTAGTCTCCCAGATACAGAAAAAATGCGCACCCTAATTAAGAACTGCAATGTCTGGTTTATTTTCAAAATATGCGCATTGGTATCTCAATGTATCACAGTTCACGTCTCTCCAAGCCTGATTAATCCAAGAAAAGTTATCACATTATAGCTATTAATGGGATTGTTACCATGTACATTGTTTTTTATGAGTCTCCGATATTTCAGGTACATGGTAATAATCCCGTTAATAGCTTTAAAGTTAGTGACCATGAAAGTTTAAAACAATATATAGATATAAACGAGACTTTTGGGTGTTGAATTAATAGGCCAGGGCGGGATGCCTTTGGAAACGGTAATAAGTGAAAAGAAATCAGAACAGGACAAAACCGGTTTTAAAAGGAAAAGAACACATTAAAATGGCTGGATTCCCCTCACCATTCCCGATCTTAAAACGCCTGGAAATTATATTTCCTGGGTGACCCTTAAGGGTTTATCGTCATTTTCGGGAACACTACAACTATCGAAAAAAATTAAATGGCTTCCTATCAAAAAAAATTAAAGGTAATTAAAATATCTACAACTTTTGTATTTATATTTCTTAACATAACTTAAAAATATCTTCGAAGAGCCAGAATAACCTACACTTTGGTTTTTTATTATTATCTACCACAAAACAACTTTACCTAATAAGCTCACGTCAAAAAAGACGTATTATTTAAAGTTGGTGTGCTTTTGGTTTGTTGGAACCTCGAATTTCAGATGGTATACAAAAAAATATGTACTTTCAGAAAGTAGACTGTTCTGAATTTTGTTTTAAAATAATCGGCCTTGGTCTATAACTGCAATGAAGGAAATATATTTTGGTAACAATTGAGTTTTTTTGGTATTGGGATATACCTTAACTTTATATTAATATTATTGACGTTGTATGATTTATTTTGACGATCATTTAAAATGTGTGAAACTGACAAATGTTAATGTGTGATAAATGCAATTGATTTAAGTCATTTTTATCACAATAAATAAATAAATAAAATTAAGAACCTGTTTAGTATAGAAAAACGGATTTCAATACAATAGTAACTCATATTATCTACCTACAGAAGGTTTAAATTAAGTCTAACTTACTCAAATTAAGCAACGGCTGAATTTAGGGGGAATTTTCATGTTGTTTGATGTATTTGAAGAAAAATTTTATTAGTGGCGTTTTACGTTATCGCGTGCGTGTTTCAAGCCCATATAAAATTCATATCATAATATTAACGCTAAATATAAATCTCATCATCACAGTTGCAACAAATAGGAACAACTATTGTCTTAGTATTACACTATAGTAACTAATGATAGTACTGTCAACGAGTTCAATCTACTATATAAAAATAAGTCGGGTTTTCCTTCCTGACGCTATAACTCCAGAACGCACGAACCGATTTCCAGGGTTTTGCATTCGTTGGAAAGGTCTCGGGCTCCGTGAGGTTTATAGCAAAGAAAATTTAGGAAAAACTAAAAAAAAAACTTCTTTTAATCACCAAACGAAATGTTACATAAAACGAAGCCATCTGGTGGCGAAACGGAGTTCGCTGGGTTTGCTAGTTTTTACATAAAAATTGTTTTTGCGTTCGCTCCAGCTTATAACCTCCATTTTTGCTAAAAGTGCGACTCGCCCGTGATACCCCGAGGTTTAGGGCCACGAAGACGTACGAGTGCTCAAAAGACGCGGAATTTGAAGGGCTTTAAGAAAATGTATTTTTTTAGAAAAGTTGATTTTCAAAAAAAAAACTTTTTTTTTAATGATCTATAATAGTTAAATTCATTTTCAATGCCCTTTCAAGTCGTGTAGAACACGATATCTGTGTTTTCTTTTAATAAAATTTCGGGAGTTTCATACCCTTGAACCATTAAACATTCTTTAAGTTGTCACAACCCTTTACGCGTCACTGACTATGCCTAGTACTACTAGTCTAGAATTTCAATTATTTTAGCAATATTTTAAGACTTTACATTCTACACTTGCTTAAAATTTTGACTTTGTCACAACACGTCACGCGTCATTGACGTTTTACCTAAGCCGGCTGCCCTTTCGGTATTCAGCCATCAGGCCGTTAAACAAAGGCGTCAGTGGTCTGCTCGAGTGGACGCTCGGGTCATGACACAGGAATGCTGCGTAATTGACATAATATAATATCATTTGACATTGTGGGTTACCTACAATGCGAAGAGATGGCGCTGCCTTGCAGCCTAAAAAATGCTGGAAAAAAATCGACACGCCATCAGGGCCGCAATAGATTATTTGTCAATGCATCCGCCCGGATAGCGAAGGGTACGGGTTCGAGTCCCGTCTGCTGCCTGGTCCGCGTGGAGTTTTTTCTAGTAAAATTTTCTTTAGATTTGAACTAATAGGAGCTAAATGCTTAAAAAGAATATAATATAATTTAATATATATATTTAGGTATATAATATATCTTAGAGATTTGGTGACTTATTTCTTTGTCGCATTACCTAAGCCGGCAAGGTGAAGATGAATTGTATTTCAGGTAAAATTACTGCACCAGCTTGGACTATACCGTCACCTTACATCAGGTGGGGTGAAGTAATTTGACGGATCATTTTATGAAAAAAATATTGGTCGATGCGACCTGGCGATTTGTGGATAGACAGATGTCTTAAGCAGATAACGCTTCTTCTAATGAGATTGTACCGTACTTGTCCGTCTTTTGTTACGATAGACGTGAGTTCGATGTACCGGAGAAAAGCTTGGGTTATGAAGAAGAAACCTAAGATATACTGGCAGCCACCCAGGTTTTATGGAACAGAACGCGAGCCTCTAGAGAGCGGAAAAAGGTTTGAACATTTGATGCTATCCTCCACTAAAAGACTCGTGTCTAGTCATAAAATAATATTTATAAAGTCGCTTAATGTATTAACCCCCGACAGTCATAAACACTTGTACTACGATTAAAGCTTTTTAGAACGTGATAAATACGTTGTTAGTGTCAAATTGTACCCACCGACCAGCCTCTATTGTATAATGACGTGTTATTCCAAATACGAGTGTTTATTTATAAAAATACTCGAGTAGGTATTCGATATCGGATCATATCGAGTGAGGCATCTATCGCGCCCGATGCTATCAACTCGAGAGTTCTGAACTCGATAGATTTTGTAACTATTTAACGAAAAGTTACGTAACAAGGGCTTTGTGCTGTGAGTATTCCATTCACTAACAATGACTAGTGACGAGAAAGGTTGGTGTGCTAAATGTTAAATTAAAGCAATAATTGTCTTCTACAAAGGCCCAGCGAGTGATTTTTTGAGCTGTTAGTGGAGTAAATGAGTCGCGAAACTTTCTTTCCAAAAAATTTACTAGTCATTTTGCGTCGCAGTGCTGCAAAAAGAAGACTTTTATATGAAACCGAAGGCTGCTCATTTCAAGCCACTCATTTTCAGCTACTCACATATCAATATAATTATAGCTTTTGTTGAATTAGAAAAAACAAAACTATTAGCAAACTGACATTAATAAAAGCTGCATGATAGTAATAAGATATAATGATCTTGATTTGAAATTAAATATACACATTGCAAATATACTATTTTTTCTTTCTCTCTGCTTGACCTAAAATAATTGAAAACGGTCAAGATATACGAGTACCAACTGGACGCTTAACATCAGATCACAACAGCCTTTTAATGCCCGCACTGGTAAAATGGGGCCTAGGCCTTCCTTGTCGGTAGAATAAGGAGATTGGGCCAAAACATGGATTTTCGTTCAAATTGCAACGCCCATCTGGGAAAGTAACCTGCATCTTACAGAGAGTCGGTGGTCATATGGGATCGGGACCGCGGCCCCGAAAGCCCCCTTAAGATCGCAGTAAAACAACACTTCCCTTTAGTGGTGTTGTAAGGTTCCAGGGCTCCACGGGATAGGGGATTGGGTCAGTTTAGGCACAACGGTGGTAGTGATATTTTTGGTATCGCAAGTGTCTATAGGCTATGGTGGCCTCTTATCATCAGGCGGGCTATAAGATTGTTTGCCACCATTTTAACATAGAAAAATCATCAGATAGACTGTGAAAAATTGTCTGTTTAAAAGAAAAACAGTCATACTATCGATACCTTGAACCAACCCTTGCGTCCCATTACTATTTGATAGAACACATCACATCACAATAGCCTTGCCCGCGTCGCGTCACTAACAGCGGCGGACAAGCCATTGATGCATTAGCGGCGATAAAGCGGTGAACTCACATGCTTCGGCTAATGAGAGCGCGACCAGCCATACTGTACCGAACATACATTATAATCTTTATCGGACACACTGATAAGTTTTACAATATAATAAAGCGACATTATTCTGCTGTAAGAGAGGAGAGAAGTGACAGATGCATTGCTCAATCCAGCGCGGGGATAGATTAGTTTGAGCTTTGGAAACTTTCCTACGGAGACAAGACTTACTTTATATACTAATCAATATGTGATCAGCAGGAATACTGCATCAATACTCTTTTTGAGCTTTAGAACAGTACCCCTAGCACGAACCATTATCGAATTCGAATAGTTTGCAAACCGAAATGTCAATGTCAAATTTTGTATCGAAACTTGAACAGCAGCGCCACAAACTACGTAACGGGATTTAAAAATCAGTACACATTTGACAATGACATTTCGGACTCGCAAACGATACGAATTCAATATTGGTACGTGCTAAGGGTACTGCACTCTATTGTATTGTATTTATACTATATGAAAAGTAATCAAAATGTGAGTGGACGTTGTATTGGTAGCGACATGATTTTGTGTAAATGTTGCTATTTCTGTTAAATGCTGATGAGTTTATTGTGCCAATTCTTCTCTTCAGGTATAATATGTCCTGAATGGGTGGACGGAAAAAATATTGTACGATTCAAAAGAGCTTTCAATAATGTTGTTGATGCATTGTTTACATCATAACACTGAAATGAAATTAAAATTGAAAAAAAAAACATAAATACGAGTACCATAGTATATGTGTGTAGGTTATTAGTTACAAAAGGAATCTTCATTTTCTTATCATTTTCATATACATATGATAACAATAAAAAAATATTTACATTAATAACCGGTATTTCTATAGATCTATAGAGGAAAAGTCCTCTAATCACTCGTGGTCGTGATCGCTACGCTCGCGTTGTTTCGTCTATAATTAAATTTTACTACAGTTATTGTCACTTCATGGTAAATGATATATAACAAATATATGGTAAATGTGTAAAATTTTGGCAGTCTTTATAATTTATCTCCATCGGTCTCTTCGTTTCGCAATAAAGAACATTGATACATGGTAAGCAATCTAATTATTCTGTGGTGTCTGATGCAACTTTTACCTAACACGTTGTAGTAATAAATTCATTACTTATTAACGAAACTCTGTACACTTAGCTGAAGTTTATTTAACGTATTCAGTACACGGTGTAAGTAAGCCATAAACTTTGCTCTCGATGGCGCACCGACGGCACCGTATAAAGTGTTAATGGCACTTGTGACTAATCAGAGCGGAGCGAAACAACATTGTCCGAACCAGGCCACGAGTTCGACGGCTAATCCCCTATAAGTTTATTTATTTTATCAGCGAATCGCCATATTTACTATACTATGATTATAGTAATTAAGTCTGGTGCATTGCCAAATGCAGAGAAATTATGTGTTACAACATAATCGGGTGAGGCGGCAAGGAGCTACAAAGACATTTAATACATTGCATAGATTGATATAAAGTTTTCTTTCCTATAAATTTTCTTCGCGTCTTCAGATCATACCTCGTTGATTTAGAACGTCACATTTCAATATGTCAAATGTATTGATGAAAGTTTCAAGAGATGCAGTTTCAGTATTACCTTTAAAATGAAGTTCAGAGGCCTATTGATTTTTTTATCTCAAGTCGTTTTGCTATTCACATCTTGCTCAACAGTTGTAATGATACTTGTAAAAATAATTGAAGGTAACTAACTAACCACCTTAATGTAATGTTAATATAATATAAAAATAAATTTAACTGGTAAAGAAAGTTATTAGTTTTTACTTCAGCTTCAAATCTAATCTCGCTAGAGAAAGATAAAAAGATAAAGTAAGTATGAGTGTTCTTTTTTCGATTCGGCTATTTGTGTTTCGTTGAAGTCTTTTCTTCGAGCGAACATAATTAATCAACTTGGAACGTAACAGTTGACTAAAATAAGTATTTTTTTCCGGAAGTTATATTTGGTAATTGGTGAAATAAATACGATAAGAAGTGGATTAGACCCTAGAGTGCTGATTTCTAAGTAAAATTATGGGAAATTAACCTAAGTTGACGGGGTTTTTCGTCGATTACATACGTGTTTGCGTAATTCATCTCTAGATATTATCAGCCTATTATTTCATCTCTAGATATAAATCACCGTATTTGTGACCTACAACTCGGGTGCAGTTAGGTATGATGGGTGCTAACGACTACAGATGCAGCTGGGACCAACGGTTTAGAAGGTACGTCAGTGCCTTTTGGAGCACGGAGGAGCTCGAGATAATAAATCATGGTCACCCATCTATTGCCGGTCTTTGTCCACCTGCGCCATCGAGCTCCTCATCTCTAAACACTTCTTGATATCTATAGATGCAGATAAATATTCGTTTATCTTATAATATTCTGTATTTCAAGTACATAGTCGCGCCAGAGCGACTGACGGGGCGTCCTCGCTAGGGTGGCCTCCCCGCCTCCGCCCCGGGTTGCACACTAGGGTTACCAAGAACATAATCTTTACTTATTCCAAGTTCCTAAAGGATGCCCTCAGACCGTTTGACGTCGATTGCGTATGTACTTGCGTATTGGATTTCTAGACACTTATGATATTTATATAGTGTAGATACATATTATTATAGGTAGAGTATATTTTAGTACAGGTACATTGCCTTCAGAATGTGCCAGTGCGACTGACGGGGCGTCCTCGCTAGGGTAGTCTTCCGCCGCCTCCGCCCCAGGCTCCACACCAGGGTCATCAAGAACATAATCTTTGTTCCTTTAGGATCTCACCCTTCTAAAGGTGCTGTCGGACAGCTTGTGTTATCGCGGGCGCGGCCGCAGCGCGCTGAACCCTGTAGAGGCTGTAGGACATCGTCACCCTCCTAAAAGGATTGGATCCAGATGACGTGCCTACATTCGTAGCGAAGGAGCTACACAAGCTCCCTCCGGTCACGTTCGACCACGTCGATGTCACCAGGTCGCTCAAGGACATCAACTTCCTTAAAGCAAATCTGGCCGATGTAGTGAACAAGTTGGAGGAATGAAACAACACCATCGGTGAGTTGCGAGCCCAACTGGAGTCATTAAGTAGCGCCGCTTGGACAAGTAGATCACCCGAGGCCTCCAACGTGAACACACGTCGCGGGGCGCATAATGCATCCGTCGGCAGTTTAGAGTCGAAAGGGTTTCATCACGGTGAAGAGGAAGAAGAGGAAGCCCATTCGTCGCAATCTGTGCGGTGTGCCCCGATCGGACTGAATAAACTTCTGCGTCCAGCGATACCTGTGACGCTACTGTATGTGTCCCGCTTGTATTACACCACGAAGGCGGAGGGGATCGCAGAATACTTGCGTACGAAGACCAATTTCTCCCTGAGGGCCGCGCGTTTGGAGTCTCGCCATGACGTGAATTTATATTCATTTGTGGTGAGAGTGCCGACTGAACATCTGGCGACCTTTTTGAAAAAGGAGCTTTGGCCGAAAGGTGTGGTGTTCCGGCGTTTCAAAGGCAGGCTACCTGACACCACTCCGCACCACACGTCGCCGACTAAACGTGTTATTTAGAATTTGTTATTATTTCATATTTCATATATATGTTATACTATAAGGTATAAATTTCTATGGGCCTACGATGCCTGAATACAAATAAATAAATAAAATAAAAAAATAAGTTTGAGATTTAGCAGTCTCTATACATGATACGAGGTAAATAGAAATTTGTAATGGCATAATGTAGCTGTACTTACTGGGTGGATCCTTTGTGGACTGGGCATTTATGTACTTACTGATAATATTTTTGGTTTTTATACCTACATGACACAAACAGTCAACATTGTTCAAATCTCATATCAAAGTGTACGAGATTTCTATTTACCTTGTATCATGTATAGAGACTGCTAAATCTCAAATTTTCAAATCAATCAGACGACTCGAACCTGAGGGGGTCGGCACAACTAGAGGGCGTCTCTGAGACTCGGGCCTCGGCTCTAGTTAGCCGTTGTCGTGGGGTTAAATAGGGCGGTAAACCAGAATAGGGAGCTTATTAACGAGACGATTTCGACCCGGTTTTTTACCCGGACTGGTGCCGGCTAAGCTTGTCCACGAGCACGGCTTGTACGTCTGTACCGACCTCAAACCGTCGCTAGCACCTTGTGTTCTTAACAAACCTCCATAGCATTCCACACCTGACGACCGGACGTAGATACCGTGTAAAACCGTGCCTAGACCCGGGTAGAAGTCGTCTCGGTAACAAGCACCCTTACGCTCGTATTACAGAATGACAACTAAGTGTTGATCTTTACTTGAGTACAGTTAGAAAGGGATGTCGCTATGTGCTATATTATAGCATTATCTCTTTCTGACTATGCTCAAGACTAGATTAATTACTGAGAATCTTTCTATAATACGGGCCTTAGAGTCCGCGAGATAGTAAGCAACCACAGACACATTGATGCTTGCGATACCAGACTTACAAGAGTATCAGTGGCTCAGAACCTTCGTCTCGCTCAAAGTGGTACGTTTATATCTGGCAAACGTGCTATATTCAGTATTTTATTTAAGTATTCTTTGTTTTAGGTGGATAAGCTTATATGTATGTACAGTATCTCGACTATACGATTATAATCAGAAAATCCCTACTTTGCTTAATAATCTTTAATATCTGTCAAAAACACATTAGAGTTGCAAAAATTGTTGAGCAAAAACTTTTTGGTGCCTAAATATAAATTTAATACCATATGTAATTCGAGTGTTCTAATTGAAAAAATTTGGTGCTATAAAAAGCATTTCTCAATTCTAATATAAATATGCCAACCCTGGATAATACTATGCACTATACCGTGATAATTTAATGTGAACAATCATGGGAACATCGGGATTGTGCTGTCATCTGCCCTCGCATGTGGCTATTGGTAACGTCGAATTACCCAAGTTTGTATGCAAAAGGTTGCACATCTCAGACCTTCTCTCGATTCTATTCAGTTTGGGTGATTAATTCAATAAAATGTTAAGGAAACTAATCGATAGCGTTGTTGCTTGCACAGTTCGGTTGCCCTTTACGATGTCTAAATGTTACCGCAGCTCAGGCAGTCGTTGTTGAAAGTTAAAAGAAGCTGTGGGAAATTGTTGAGAAAGATATCGAGCATAATGTTGCGCAATAAAATAACCATTTCACAAGTAATGCATGTTATAAGATAGTATGTACACAGATAATTTAATTCCACTATACAATATGTATCTTGTGGTCCTGACAGTGTATATGGTGTTTTACCAGACATATATAAAACACGTTATTATATATAATACACCATAGACAAGATTCTTGGCGCAGTGGTAAGCACGTTCGGTCTGCGTTTGTGAAAGTTCAGCAACTTTCGCAATGGCCGATCATAGGGTGGGTGACCAAAAATGTAATATCTCAAGCTCCTCTCAGCGTCGGAAGAGCCATCGAGATAAATTATTTCTATCATATCAAAGTAAAGGAACATAAATCCAACGCTTAAAACTTCAGTAACAGAAGAGTAAATAGAAAAAGTTGCCAACCTTCTAATAAGTTCAGGAAAAGTATCTTACTTTAAGATAAGTTGTCAACATGCTCGCAGAAACGTAGAAACTTCAGGGAACAGTAAACGAACCACTACTTGGAAGGCATCTGAACTATCAGATACACGATAAGGGTTCCGAGTACGACGCGCTCAATTAATTTAAAAAGCATTCGTTAATTTTATTAATGCCAGCGCCTAAATCTACGATCACGGGTGAGATGTGATCGCGAGCGCCTTCTCATTTTCGAAATTAGCAAATGAATACAAAAAACGAAAACCCAACCGCCAACAGAGTGGACAAGATAAAGGGATATACGGAGAGGTGCTGCGTTCGGGGTTAAGATAACACCATTAACGCCGGGGAGGCTGCTGAGCAAAACAAAGGAGCGAGACAACTCTATATTGAACCGTAACTACTCGGACATAAGTCAGCTAACGAAGCCACGCAAATATATTCTCTAAAATTCGATGCTAGGGTTGGAAATGCCAATGTTCAGGTTGATGCTTTGCTACAATGCGTTCCTGAAGCGATCCTCGACATCACTGAAGGAGTAAACGAGAGGGACGATGATGGTAACGATACAGAAATGAGTGGAGCGAGAGTTTTTCTTTAGCCACCCAGCCAGCAACATAATTAATGACGCTCGTGTCGCAGACGAATTTATAAATTGGCTTCAGTACGTTTAAACAAAGGATATTTGCGTGATAGGACAGATTGTAGCGGTGATACGTAAATGTGCGTAATGATTTCGCGAAGTGGTCACCTAAGAAATTACTCTGTATTCAAACACCTGAAATGTTTACAATTTTCATTTCACTTACCTTTTTTCACCCTATGTGGTTGATTCACTATAAAATATAAACTTTAAGAACCTTGTTTTTTTACATTGCTCAAGGTAAGTAACAAATTTTTTCCTGCTCAAATAATGTATTGTGAATAATTTAAAATTGCAACGATAATACCTAGACTAAAATTTCTTTTGAACCAATAGAAATATTTGGAACACATTTAATGAAATAAGAAGCACTGAATTGGACATGGAAACCAGTGCCAGTGTCTCAGTGGTCAGAGCAAATTTTTAGATTGCAGGAAATCGTGAGACTATCCATTATCAATTAGATAATTACATAGATATTTTTTGTTTTGCCTAGGCATAGGATTTTCACACATTAAGCATATTGCTCTCTTTCAAAATACTCAGTTTACCATTTTACAGAACAGATGAAAAGTCTCTAAGTCTATGCTTTACGTTGGAAATAAACCTACTATCTCGATAGACAAGTAATCTGCCGAGAAACAAATCATAGACAATATCAATCTCTATCCGAGATCATCATCGTTCAAAATTCCATTCTCAGCCATAAACAACGCTTGTGAGCGAGCATTATTTGTTTCGCATAATAATAATGGCATATTTAGTGGTTGATATCAGTTAATACGGCCGGGTTGGCATAAATCGGCGCAGGCGCAATCTGACATCACCGCCCCGCCCCTCGAGTAACTCACTGCTATCTACCCCGAATATTGTTAATCAGTGCATCATTAGCTCTCGCACGGTGCACACTACTCGCAGCAACACTCCCATAAATTAGCCCGTAATCTTTGAACTTTGTTTTTATATGTATAATAAAATAATAAGGTGCTTCGTTCAAGGAGTGTACGGAGCGGGAGAGTACGGGCTGGGACGGGCCATATAAGCGAATCTCTGTGTGTATTGGTAATAATGATAGCAAAGGAAGTGGAGACCAATGACTTGACGTTAAACCCCTGGTTCCAAATAACAAAGAAGCTCGGCATGACATTTTTTTTCACTCATCTATTGACTAGACATTGCAAACGTAGCTTACCAAGACCATAATCAAATATCGCTAAGGCTAACAACTATAACATTGACCTCTTAACCGCGTATAGTTCAAAAACTAAAACTGAATCTCCCAACAACATTATAAGAGACGCAGCTGAGAATAAAATCGAAACGAAAGTTAGCAACGAACCAAAAGCGAAGGAGTGCGGCGCAATAAAGTATTTTACAAGTGATACAAGAATGTAAGGCAATCGGTTGGCTGGATCTCCTCGCCGCTTTAACATTATAAATACTGCGCTATTTATTTCTGGAAATCGGCGGGGGATCATCAATATGGTTTGGTTGGCGGTCCGACACTGCAACTATCCGTGTTTAGAATCTAACGGTGCAGTTCAGACGAAATATGGCATTTATTTTATGAATGACGATAGATTTGTGTCAAATTAGACCTAGTTTCTATTCTGTACTAGAAGTTAAATATAAAGTGAAAATACGTCACATTATGCGTAAAAAAATTACAGAGTCTGAAACAATTGTCTACAATGTTGTTATCGTATCGGGAATGTTTTATACCGACCATTATTTAACGTGGAATTATGTATGGGAGTCACTTGGTATCAAAACTTCTTTTTAGGGTTTCGTACCAAAAAAAGGTAGTAACGGTAAACTATTATAAAGCCTACACAGCACAATTAATCGTCAGCCAGCGGCCTCCTAGCTCTAACAGTGTAGTTTCAACTCCCATCAATAATACTTTCAATTGGCTTAAACTGGATTACCTGTCGGAGGAATTACACCACGGAAGGCTAAATTTAAATATAATTTTACTTTGGGGTTGGTAAGTTTGCCTGAATTCTAGAACTCTACCTACTTCTCTAGACCAATCACCTACTTAGGTGATTGGTTCAGAATATCATATACCTGATATGAATAATGTATGTCACACTAATATTATAAAGGCGAAAGTTTGTGAGTGGAGTGAGTGTGTAAGTTTGTTACTTCTTCACATCTAAACGGCTGGAGCGATTTTAATAATATTTGTCATGGAGTCAGCTGACTCCCTGAATTAACACGTAGGCTACGTTTTATTGCTGTTATTGTGCCGTTATATCCCTAATAAACCGCGGGGCATAGCTAGTAATTAATAATAGTTAATTCTGATATAAACAAATATAACGCTATTGGTATTTAAACTGTATGTCACAGTAATTCAAAC